AAAAACATTTTGGGATATTTCTGAAATATTTCTAAGAGATTTTTGTAACCTTACAGAAATCTTTCTATAAGCTTTCAAGTGTAAGAATCGCGGACATTTTACTGTTCCAGAGCTGTCTCAGAGCTATTGCAGAAACATTTTGCAATATTTATGAAACGTTTCAATCTATCACATGAAATATTTTTGAAATATTTCTGAAAGGTTTTTGTGCTGTATGGGAATTTATTAATTACATATGCATGCGGGCCTTTTTCAATACACAGCAAGCTATTGCAAAGCAATCTAAGGAGATTATGTCGCTTCGCAATAGATGGAGATTGCGAGTAACACCGCACTGGTCAAGTACTTAATAATTCGCGCATTATTGGTATCAAGAAAAATAACATTATAAAATTCTCGTAATTAGAAAATTTTTTTAATAGAAAATATAGTATTTTTATTATTTTTTAAACATTGCTGCAATATTGCTATCGAAAGGTTGCAATTTTAGATCCCTGCAATGTCTCTGCAAGATTGCACTGCAATCTGCAAGATTGCAACGTTTCTGCAATGTAACTGCAACCATCTGTGCTGTATGGATAAAAACAGATGTCATTGTGTCGTCTTCTGACATCAGTGTGTTTGCTGTTATCTAAATAAAATTATATAGATGATTATCTAGATGAAATTTTAGCGTTATCTTATCTTTATATAGATAATAAAAATAAGTATTATCTATATGTATATGCATCTTAGATGAAAGAAAGTTATTTTTACTAAATTATCTAAGATAACGTACAGATAATTTGGTTTAGGGCCACATAAGGTTAGCCACAAAAATACTTAACAGTTACACTATTTAAATATGGATGGCGTTGTAGACCATATATGCATTTATGTGTGTGTCATATAACTTAACCTGAATATATTCTATATCCCCCTTTATAATTTAAATTTTTCTATAATTTTTTTATAACTTTTTCTACTGTGTTTACATGAAGTCTTAAAAATATTATCTGCAAATTATCTAGATAAATCATCATATGATTTTATCTTTTATCTAGATATATTAAAACCGAAATCATCTTTATCTTATCTAAGATAAATTTATATATTTTGATCTTATCTTTATCTAGCTAATTTTAAAATCATCTATGCACAACACTGGACATCACTCTGTTACTTGTGATAGTACATTCAGTAGTAAAATATTTCCATTAGGGACCGTGTAGGAATTTGTACAGCGTGAGCGATTCGAATAACAAGAATTGACGTACATATATCTATCTCTCATTTAACCCTGAATCATCTGATTCCACGTTTTATTTGATTTAAGTTTTTCATGGAAGCTTAGCGTACAACGCTATTTCGAATTGAGGTGCAAGGTAAATTTTTTAAGCGGAGGATCCAGGTATTCGAGTACTCGCCTACATCGACGAAGCATCGATGGCCACGTTTGTGGGAACCGACGACGCATTCGCACGTCTTGTTCGTGCCGCATTGGCTATGCTTCAGGAACAGTTGGCACTGGGACTGCTGTTCGCACTTCTCGCCGACCCAGGAAGCGGCTTTCAAGCACCGCTGATCGCCTTTGGCTAGCACGTAATCCACTTTACAGTCGCATTTGTTGTGCATACACTTGGAATGTTCCACGATGCATTCGTCATCGTTGTTGCAGTGTTCGCTCAATTCTGAAAAACGGATTTGGTCTAATTCTAGACTTTTGTAAATGCCAAGATACTTCTCCATGAGAAACTCCATGACACTCGAAGAAATGCTTTTTTCCCCGAAAATTTGTCGCTCTTGTTTTACTTCGTGTTTCTTGTTTTAAAGAGAACTACTATAATAAATATAAATTATCGTTCTTGTACGACATAATGCTCCGTTAAATTCATTAAATTGTATGTAAATATTAAATTAATTTACATTTAATTTATTTATTAATATATGCCCGATAAAAAATTTTCATACATAAACATATGTAAATATATGTATACAGGGTGTCTCAGAATTCGCGCATTCGGAATTCATAGCGTGATTATTCGTGCCAAAAAAAGTAACTTTTTCCTCTAGCAAAATTGTGTCTGAAGCTGAACATTATTTTTCAAATAAGAGCAACTTCAAGGTAACGAATAAGCGCTTTAGGTAACGCGTAAATTAGGAGCGGCACGCGCACGGCGTGCCATCGCGTTTGAGCGTGTATGCTATTTTATTATTTTGATAAAAGTTTTTATAAAAACTATGCATGATACCTAAGTATCGTTATTTTGAACACATCTTGTCTTAATAAGAGAATATGTTGCAATTAACATTACCGATTAATATTACCGAAGCAACGATTGAAAGTCAAATAAGATTAGATAAGATGTGAATAATTGTGAACCGAAATTATTGTTAAAAAAAAAGTAAATAAAAAATAAATAAATAAATAACTAAATAACTAAATAAATAAAACATAAATGAATAAATAATAATAATAAAATTAGCAACATGTCGCAATATTCTCCACTCGTATAATTTATCGTGATAATCACACTTCTTTTCCGTGTAATACAGACACGTAAAACACATGAACGTTTCTGTCATGAACGTGTCTGAACATGACAGAAACGTACACACTCAAACGCGCTGGCACGCCGTGCGCGTGCCGCTCCTGATTCACGCGTTACCTAAAGCGCTTATTCGTTACCTTAAAGTTGCTCTTATTTAAAAAGTAAGGTTCAGACACAATTTTGCCAGAGGAAAAAGTTACTTTTTTTTGGCACGAATAATCACGCTATGAATTCCGAATGCGCGAATTCTGAGACACCCTGTATACAATTATATATCAAATAAGTCCATACATGTTTTTATATTGTGTATTTCTGTATAAGTTTTTATAATTCTGTATAATTCTATGTAATTCTACAAATTTATATAAAAAAATTTTAAAGAGATAAACTTGCTCATTTATAATTATATCTAATTATATATAATTCGGTTCGATCTCCTTGTCCTAGTCTTCATAGTTTTAACACATCCGAGCCTTTCGTATTTATTAAATAAGTAGGCAATACATAGAATTAGTAGCTAAACATATATAAGAAGACATATTGTAGTTACAACGTTATAGAAATAACGTCAGACTCCGAACACGCATTAAATCAAATTTTGAGTGCTGACAAATTTAGCGGACAGTACAAGTTCGACATCCCAGAATGTGAAACTATAAATTCAAACAGTCTTGTACGTAACATAAATTAATTAATATTAAATTGAGTTTTAGAACAAAGTAAAATAAAAAGCTGAAAAGACAAGGATCGCAGAATACAAAGAAAGATTCTCGCGAAACTACTGGATTATAATTTTTATCGATGGTTCCAGTACTTACTGGCGCTTGGCAGACAGCTAGTGTTGTCAGGATTCGCATGATGACGCAAACCGCAGGTACAAAAACCGTATTCGCAAAAAGTGTTCTTGATATGACAATTGCGATTCGAGCGGCAGCGTTTTCCCAAACCTGAATGCAAAGAATAATCACCATAATTTTACTCAATTACACAATTGTTTAGCTCAATTTACCAACTTTCCTTTGTATTTGATTACCGTGCGAACAACCGTGGGTAATTTACGTGCGTACAAAATAGAAGTAACGCTAAAGCCCGGTCTACAACCCGGGACAGAAGTCAGTAGTCAGAAATCATAAATCGTAAGTTGGAAATTGTAAAGAAAAATGTTGATCCACAATGAGTCGTAAGTCACTATAATCTAGCCAATCAAGACGAGGACATTTATAGGCAATCATTTGCCTCAACAAGCTTGATGAGTTCCAAATCATCAATATCCCTGGCGAAAATTTTAAGTAAGAGATGATGTTTATATTTATTTATGAGGAGTTTCATCGATAGTTACATTGTTTATGAAGAGTTTTATTGATGGTTACACTGTTTGGAAGTACGTTGCAAACACCTGATTAATTCTTTACTGACAATAACATTTTACAAACACTTAGAAAATTATAATGGAAACGTTTGATATTGTATCATTAAACGCAATTTGAACACTTGTAACCGTAAACATGTCATAAACAACTCCATGTTTAAATTTATATCTCACAAACAATTCAATAAATGTTTTAAACTCAAATAAATGTTTTAAACTCAAATAAAACATTGACTCAACATTCAAACAAACTTCTTACATAAACATGTTATTTTCGCCAGGGATTCTCGTTGGATGCAGCGATTTCCATCGTTAAACAAGTTTGCCCACACAGCACAGAAAGATTGCAGGAAGATTGCAGAAATGTTACATTGCAAGATTGCAGTATTGCAGCAACGCTGCGCAACATTGCTGCAACGTTTCTGGAGGATTGTTGAAATGTCCGCCCTCAGAGAGATTGCAGTGCAACATTATAGCAATGTTGCGGTGCAATATTTTTGGAATAATTTCTTGTTGTTGTACATAAGCAGAGAATTTACTAATTACATATGCATCCGGGCCTTTTTCAATACACAGTAAGCTATTGCGAAGCAACCTAAGGAGATTATGTCGCTTCGCAATAGATGGAGATTGCGAGCAACACCGCACTGATCAAGTACTTAATAATTCGCGCATTATTGGTATCAACGAAAATAACATTATAAAATTCTCGTAATTAGAAAAATTTTTTAAATAGAAAATATAGTTTTTTTTATTATTTTTCAAACATTGCTGCAACATTGCTATCGAAAGTTTGCAATTTTAGATCCCTGCAATGTCTGCAAGATTGCATTGCAATCTGCAAGATTGCAACGTTTCTGCAATGTAACTGCATCCATCTGTGCTGTATGGGTAGGATCTTTTACTCCATTTAATGTCAGTACTGTCCCTTTTTTCAACGTCCCAAAGGACCCTTTTCTTTAACAACGTGCGTATGTATATCGTTTTTGTACTACTTATTTCTCTATACTGTTAATATAAAGAGACAGAGTTTGTAGCCTTTTTCTTTATTCGCGAGTATCTAAAAAAAACCGCTTGATCGATTTATTGAATTTTTTACGGACTATTCCCAGTAAGAAATGACGTCGAATCGACGCCAATACAACGGTGTCGATGTCGATTCGATCGACGAATAATTTCTCACTGGGATTATTTAGTTTAGTATATCGAAAGAGTCAAACACTATGTGTATACATCATCCTTGCCCGTCTGTTTCTTCTGTATTAATAGAGCGTTCAATTAACTTAATTCTGTCTACTTATTACAAAATAACAATCCTTTAGTTTCAGTAACTTTCTTATTCTACTTATTACAAAATAACAATCCTTTAGTTTCAGTAACTTTCTGATTGTCATCCTAACGAATCAACGCAAGAGCGTCTCTGATTTATAAACGCGTTCTGAAAGAACACGATATGTTTGGCAATGGAAGTTTCTGTCATAGCGAATATGCAAAATTGTTTCAACTCAACTCGTTGTCTACATTTGTAAACTTATTAAAAGCAGTAACGTTGAAATGTCCGCCCTCAGAGAGATTGCAGTACAACATTATAGCAATGTTGCGGTGCAATATTTTTGGAATAATTTGTTGTTGTTGTACATAAGCAGAGAATTTACTAATTACATATGCATCCGGGCCTTTTTCAATACACAGCAAGCTATTGCGAAGCAACCTAAGGAGATTATGTCGCTTCGCAACAGATGGAGATTGCGAGCAACACCGCACTGATCAAGTACTTAATAATTCGCGCATTATTGATATCAACGAAAATAACATTATAAAATTCTCGTAATTCGAAAAATTTTTTAAATAGAAAATATAGTATTTTCATTATTTTTGAAACATTGCTGCAATATTGCTATCGAAAGTTTGCAATTTTATATCCCTGCAATGTCTCTGCAAGATTGCAACGTTTCTACATATATCTTGTAACAGGCTGATAACTCGCTTATGTCTTCTAACTACTGACTTTTGTCTCATTGTGGACCGGGCTTAACGGTAAGAGGCGAGCCGCGTTATTTTGTCATGTTATAAAGTCAGTTAAGTGATCGTTCATATAATTTCGTCTCCGCGCGCTGAATATGGCAGACCGCTAGTTGCATCGCTCCCTTGTTATTAGGTACTAACTCGGGTTATTTATTTTTCCCATAATTTTTTTCCATAAATATGCATATAATGAAGGGGCTGGCCTGCGTTAGCCGGGACACTTCTGGGGAAAAGTTGCGACGCTCACCGACGGACTCGTAGCACCTCCCGTCCGTGAAGTGGGAATCGTGGGCGCATTGACAAGTGCCTCCTCGACATTCCGATTGCGGTGTAAACGTAAACGCACACTGGATGTCCTCCTCGCAGGGATCGCCGATGCGAGCAGCCACTGTTGAAATAACGTTCCTTATAGATGCCTCCGCCTCGAAGTTTGCGCATTACTTTCTTTTCTTTACGTTCCGCGCTTGTTACGTTCTCGCGTGAAAGAGTTTCACGTTTCTCATTAACCCTTTGCGTCCCAGTAGTGGCTCCGTCGTGAAATCACTGTGCTCTTTGACTTTTTCGTCATTACGTTGAACTTATTCCCAAGGAGAACAAAAAGTCAGGATGTTGTCAATATGACATCAAATTGACATCATCCTGACTTTCTGTTCTCCTTGGGTTGTGACTACGAGATGCATAATTGAATATTCGCATTATTTTTCAAGACATGGGATACAATTAATATTATTATGTAATATTACTTTTTATTTTTTCTTATTGTTTGTACAATTGACGCTTATTTATAAGTATTTGTATACAGGGTGTACCAAAACCACCGGATATCCTTTTATGCGCAGATTTTTTAGCAAATTTCAAGTCGAAAATTCTAATACAAAAATGTCGAGGCTATAATAGTTTTTAAATAATAAGCGATTATATTTCACAAACGACAGGCCTGAGATTTCGCGTGCTCAGGCGCGGCGACATGATAAGTGATAAAAGTGTTCCTATGAACGTCACCCTGTTTATTTAATTCAAGTAAAAATTTGCAACATGTTGTAACTTCAAAGTGTTGCAGCTGTCAAAGTGATCGATCAATATCAGTTATTACGAAAGTTGTTACTAGAGCTGGAATTTTTCTTCGAAGATTTTCAATTTTAAAGCTTCGAATTTTCGAAGCTTCGTAGAAATTCTTCGAGAATTGAAGTGTTTAAATTTTTCGAAGATTCGAAGTTTCGTAGTTTCGAATATTCGAAGTCAATGAATGTATTATATTAACAAGATAAAAACAAATAACAAATTTTGCAAAATTAATCGTTTTTATTATAACTGTGAACTAATTAAATGCCAACTAATTATGTCATTACCAAGTATAAAAAAAACAAACGTACTTTTTGTTGGACACACATTTGTCCATCGCGCAAAAAGAAACACAATTAAATCGAAGGAAATAAATTTTGGTATGGTCTTTGAAAACTTATATGTTAATGCATTAGTTGACTTTGAATATTCGAAACTTCGAAAATTCGAAAATTTGAAATTTCGAATCTTCGAAAAATTTGAAAACCTCGAAAATTTGATATTTGAAGTTTTTTCGTTTCTTCCAATTCTTCAAAGCTTCGAAATTGAGAAGCTTCGAATAATTAAGACCACGAGTTGTTACTATGCTAAAAAGGGGGACATTCGTAGGAACACTTTTATCATTTGTCACGTCGCTGTACCTGAGCGCGCGAAATCTCAGGCCCGTCATTTGTGAAATAAAGTCGCTTACTATTTAAAAACTATTATAGCCTCAACATTTTTGTATTAGAATTTTCGTCTTGAAATTTTCTAAAGAATGTATGATCGGAAGAATATCCGGTGGTTTTGGTACACTCTGTATAATAAAAGTTTGTCCTTTAGAAAACAAATTCTTTTTATGTCGCGCCGCAAAGGATTAACAGAAGCTCGAATGAGCCTCTTTCTTCATTCGAATCCACAGTATTTGAAGATAACGTTATTAAATATATATAACGTACAGAAATAATATAGCGAAATTTCGAGCGCGATTCAGATTTCGTATAATCGATGGACGAAATATATGATTTTAATGTTAATCATAAAATGTTGAGCGAATTTGCCGGATCGACAGAGTTCCGACTTCCATAAAGTTTGTTCTAGAAGCCAACTTTATTCAATCGCCTCACGATCGTGTTGAGAGGGACGGATTTACGCCGTCCTGACTCATTTATAGAAATTATTCGTGATCTCTGTCGGCTCAACAAGCACGACGAACGACACGCTCCAGGTGAGGCGGGATCGTGAGAAAGGAACGGATAGGAATAGGGATGAACGGATATCTCCGCGGGATCTCGAGGTCGACGACATCGTTCCCGACTATTAGAATAATTAGACCGAGATCTAGAGCGGTGCTTGCTATATCTCGGGGGATATTCCTGGGGTGGAAAAACTTTACTGAAAATATAACGAAATCTCTTAATTTAAAAACCTCTCTGAATTGAACTCCGCTTCATTATATCATCTCATCAATATTTCAGTAAAAATTCATTAAAAAGTAACACGGTTGTTAGTTCAATTCGGTAAATCTCATATTGAATATTTTCTAATTTCTTTATTACTCTTCAACAGTATACTTAAAATTCCCTTACATTGCGCAGTATTACATTGAATTAGGAAAATTATGATTCGTTTTGACATACATTCAGTATACTTTTTCAATAACTATTGTTTCGTCGACTCTTCATCGATTTCAGTGCTGTTAGCAAAATATTTCTATCGGAAATTTCTCTAAAATCCTATTTCATTCCTACACTGAGAAAAATTTCCATCGGATAAACCGATTAAATAGTGTTTCCGATGGTTAATTTTTCCGATTACGTTTTCCGATTACATTATGGACACATCCGATGAAATTTATCCGATGAAATTTGGTTGACAAACCGATTATATTTTTCATCGGATATACAATTTAATTGGATATATCCGTTTGTTCTTATGTAATTGGATTATCCGATAACATTTAATCGGACATTTTTCTCAGTGTAACGTTAACGCGTGAACGTTGATATCGCGCTCGAAAGATAAAGAAACAAAGAGTACCTCTTAAACATTTGTAGTTATTATTACTCCTAAACTCGATGTGATCATCTTTGCACGAGCAGGTCTGCTGGTTCCGGCAAAACGCGTTCGGAATACAGTCGACGTCGTATTTACACTGGGAGAAGGTTTCTGAAAAAAGAAAAACGTATATACACATTCGCCTCGTTTGTCACGCTATTTATAATAACTATTTATAATAACGGAGGAAAAATAAAGAAGACTATACATATGGTAAAATTGTCTCTCTGCCTCCCTCAGATTGAAAATAAAAAGAGACGTTAGCGGACGTATGAAGCAATCGGCTTTATACATTCGCTGGACAATGAGTACGACCTAATAATCGATTAGACACGATCCGTAAAGAATGAACGACCGAAGAATCGCCTCACACTTCACGGTAGTTGCGCGTTCCGGCCTTGCCCTTATTAATTTAATTCGTGAAAGCCGAATTGTACGAGCCGCTATCATTCCACCTTGAACTCCGTTTGCTTACTATTGCTGCGATTAGCGTAACCGCGATCGTTGCATCGCGGGGACGAGTCCTCGTTGCCGTTGACGTAGGTGATCGTCGCGCAGACGGTAACGGGTACGAGGACGAGAAGCCGCGTGAAGCCGCATACCGTCCACGTCCTCGTCATCCTCGCAGCGACGGCGGACGGACGCCGCGTACGGAACGTTTCACCATCATCATCATCGCCGACTTATTGTCATTTTCGGATCCCGCCGGTTCCGCGAGAGGAGACGGGGTCATCCGATCGGGATTGCTCCAAGGCCACCGCGTCACGATCCCGACAGTCGTCCCTTTCCGTTTAGCTCACGACGACGCACGCATTGTTTCGCCGTCCGTTCAATCGTTGCGCAATCGTAGATAGGAATACATCCTCGGATGAACATCATCAAGGCGTATCCCGCGCGATTACCGTCAGGTCCCTCGACATTGTCTATCGGGTCTATATCGCCTGTGTCTATCGCTCACTTCCTTGTTCGTTCAAGGCGAAGCACCAACGAATTCACCGTCATGCGACTGGTCTCCGACGAATCGATCTGGAATTTTGCCCGAGTCACGAAATCTCGTTAGGCATTCCATATTAAAGATTATGAGATTCCAACATGAACCGTTAGAACGGAGAGATCGATTTTTCACAGTCAATTTTTGTCTCACCTTTCGAGAATAATCATGAGATCTGAATAGATTCTAAAATTTTTAATAAACAACACAAAACTGCCCGCGAAAATTTAGGTTCGTTAATTACAAAAAGCACTAGAGTAGGTGAATCTGATAGAGTTCTTTTTATGCTGAAAACGAATCTGGCCGCAGAATTTCCCAGCATGTCAGATTTTTGAGTAATTTCCCTTTTTAAAATATTAAGTAGAATGCGATTAGATTACATTAGATTACATACATAATTTCAATGTAAATAAATCAGAATCTTCTTAATTTATATTGAAATTGCATGTAATCGATAATCTATTATTTTAAACAGGGTTGTAATTAAATGAAAAATACTGTAAAAAAGTTAGGTTATCCCGTTTCATGAATTTATTATGAAGACCCTAACTTTTTGAAATATTTTATGCCAAAGACATTGTATACCCTACCCAGGTAGAACATAAAACTCATAATGACATCATTATGACATCACTTAAAAGTCATTTTGGAAAAATCATAATGATCTCATTTGATACATTTTTGGCTACGTTTTGGTGACTTATTTATGATATCCCAGATAGCATTTTGACATCCAATGTATATACATTGCATATACATCAGTGTATATGACATATCCTATGAACATGCAGTGATATATCAACGACATACATTGGATATCGTAGGTATGTGCAAATGCAACGCGCTGTAGATGCAATTTATATCCATGCAATATACATGTGTATATTTGCCGAACATTCTATGTACATGTGTTTATTGAAAAAAAAAAATTTTTTCAACTAGTTTTTTTAATAA